CCAAATGTGCGTAAGAAGTATTGGGAATGGCCAGTATGGGATTGATAATAAAGCCAAAGTACCTTCAGGGTAGAGCTGGCTCACCCAACAACTTAACTGAGTAAGATGTCTTAGATCATCCACAGAGATGCTTTTTCACTTGTTAAAGACCTATAATGTTATTTACCAATTGCTAAATGATTGAAGAAAATTAAAGAATTGATTTGTACTTGATAAATTCCACTTCTTGAATTTTTGTTTTGTAATTAACTGTTTTTGTACAGTTGTCTTGACTACTCCTCCCTAGAAGTAGGGTGAGGCAGCATAACTTCCTTTTTTCAAAACTTAATAAAACCCATTGTATGAATCAGAATTTTTAATTTTTTTATAATGTAGGCACATACCTAAAGTTTTGTTTTACGTAGTTTTGAAGATCAAATTAGGTAGGTGACGTCCCCATTCTCCATACACTGAGTAAACCGATTTCTGGCGTTTGTCATGACTCTTGCCAGCATAGCAGGCGTTATGTTGGCAATTTCTTCCTGGATGTTGGTCTTCAAATCTTGTAGGGTCCTTGGACGGTTCACATAAACACGGGATTTCAAAAAACCCCATAGAAAAAAATCACAAGGGGCCAAATCTGAAGAGCGGGCCGGCCACTCCAAATCCGCTTGAAAAGTAGGCCTCAACAGCAAAAGCACGCTCCTCACTGTTCCAACGCATGATGGCAACTGAACTGTGTCAGGACAAAACTTTATACTCCCGCCTCTCGAACGAGACCACTAGCACTCCGCTACGTCTTCAACCGACTGAATGGAGTGCATTTTTAAAAAGGAAGTTATGCTGCCTCACCCTGTACTTGGTTATTCTGGTTTGATAAATAAAATCTAGAAGATGTATAGCTAGGAGCAGTCTATTGGATATTGGAAGTGTAAATTATTCCAGTATTAAATCGATACTGGCAGGCTTTTGTGCTGAGAATTTCTTGTTACATCGCTGCTGACTGTATTTTCTTAAAATCATGATTGGAGCAATGCATCCTGCAGAGCATATGCAGCCCCAAAAAGCATCCCTCCAAAGGTCCCCATTCACCCTCAAATATTGGGATGTCAAAATGAGCTGCTCAAAAGTTCTAATAATATCTCAAGCCTTTAGGGGATTCTGCTGGCCATTTCTCTGTATTTTGACACATTTGTACTACCTCCCTGATAGGACATTTTTCCAAACAAAGAATTGCCTTACCTTGTTGGATAGGAGTAAAAACGGGGATGGCCCTCCTGATCCCTGCAAGAAGCCCTTGCTGTTCGCCAGCCCTGTTTTTAGCCATCCAAAACTTTCAAAATATATTAAAAAATAAATTGGACTGGCTGGACATGTAACTGTTATGCACATACCACTTCTTAACCTTTCCTTCTTCTGCCAACACATTTCATTACCAGCTACTTTTGAGAGATTGCCTGCTGTGCAAAATAAATGGCACCACTGGGATAGTGAATGCAACTACGCAGATCTCACCTCTCGTTTGTGTGAATATTGGTACGGTTGCACCCAGTCTCATCTTGCCCGTGAGCAGAAACTGTTATATGTTCTTGTTTATTTTAATCTCAGAAATAACAAGTAGAACAATACACTGCTGTGTTGAATGCTCATGTTCTAGCAAGGTGCCAGCCGGTCATGCTGTCTTCCACTCCATTTCCTTTTCCACCATTCATCTGTTTTCCATAATTCTCTCCACAAGCACCGGAGGCTGAGGGGAAGGGTGACATTTACTTCTCCACTTTTTCCTTCTCCACCATTAATCTCTTTTCCATAATTCCTAGCAAAAGCACTCATCTTACTATGGCCACTGAGCATGATCACTGAGCTATCATTAAGAGGATGGGCAACAGGGTTTTCCTAATTTTTTCTTCTTTTTATTTCTTTTTCCTAAATATGTGAATAGCTTTCTTCAGTCCAGTTATTTTGTTTTATCCACACTTGTGTGAACAGTCAGCAAGCATGTACACTTGCTATCAAAAGGAGTTATCTGACACATAAACCTAATAATGAGAGCCATGCAATGCTCACCCAACTTACTTAGGCCATTTGGGTTGCTGAGAGAACAGAGATACACCCAAAGATTGTGGCAGGAGAAACTACAATGAAATTGCTTTACTCTTAACATCATTGTGGGATTTTAATTTCAAACATTTTGAAAAACTTTCTCAGAGAACAACCTTGTGCTGCTGGCTGGCCATGGTGTCATTCGTAGGCATTTTAGGAAGTGAAGTTGAGCCAGTAGGTTGTGTAAAGATTCATTCAGCAAGGATCACCTATGTTGTAATGCTAAGAGCAAAGTAATTACCAATATCTCAAACCTCCTCACTGCCATTTCACGGAGGTTTATCCACCAAACTCCAAAAGCAGCAAGAAATGCCATCCCCATCCTTACTTGTTATATTACTTTATTCATTTTATTGATTAACATATTTATATTATTCCATTTATCTTGCAATGAAACCAATCTGACAAATATTAAATAATAATTAGTCCCGCCATACTTCTTTGGGGATATCGTATTGCTATATTTTTTTCTGCACACTGTTACTGCAGAGTATCTATGTATTTGTTCACTAAAAGAGACGTACATGTATACTGGGTGATAGGTGTTGCTATGTTCTACCACAGGGTGTCAAAACTCATTTTCATCTAATGCTGCATCAGCTTGAAAGGGCCATTTGTAATTGTTAAGACTGCATGAATGTAACTCTATTGCCTCGGCATTGTAAGCCTCATGGACCACATAAAACAATGTAGAGGAACAGATTCGGCCCACATGCCTTATATTTGACGTGTGTGTTCTACCATGTTGATGTTCATTGGTTGAGCAAAGCTAGATACTGCAAGTTTTCATTAGCTAGGGATGCATACAGTTGTTAAGGCAGATTTATGGACCTTTTATGGAAACATAGAGACTTCAATGTTGTTTTTGTGGGAAGCCTAGTACTGTGGGTGAGCAACAGGCATTTTGATTAACAAGCCAATGGGGTGGGGGGGCTGTGAAAGACATAAGGAACATTGCATCATGACCAATATGTAATAAAGTTTATTGATTAGTCCACTGATCATACAGACAAAAACAAGAAAATGCACAAATAGATACTAATCACTGTCCTAAAACTCATGCAAAAGTGAACCTACATTAAAACACTATTAAAACTTGATTAAGTTAAAAGGTGAACATAATTAAAAATATATACCTATAGGATGAAGTTCCACACATTATTCGATTTGTGATACCTATGACACTATATGATCCATGTAATCATCCTCAGTCCTGACAATAGCAGTGGTATACATTTGTTAATGTTTTATTGTTTTCTAGTGTATATAAGAAATAAAATAATAGATGATCAAAAAGAAAGAAAGAAATGAAAAAATATGCAAAAGATTAAGCAGGTTTACAAAATGATGGCCATCTGTTAGGGGTGATTTGAATGCAATATTCCTGCTCTTCCAACTCTTTGATTCTATGATTCTATGATATATCAGTGCTTTTTGAACAAATGAAAAATCAAAATTGGCTGTACAGGTATTTATACTTTAACATTACTTATCCCTCCATCCCCACACCTGTGAACCCAACACCCGTGGCCTCTGACACCCCTCAAAAAAGGATCACACAACTAACCAGCAACTACCCACATGTCCTTTCACGAAATCACCTTTATGGCAATTTTCAAATCTACCTTTGTCTTCTTTTCCATATACCCAAGTGCCAGCCTCCATTTGTTTGCAAATTCTTCATTTTTTCCTCCTCTGCTGCTATTTGTCAGCTTGGCCATTTGCATATAATCTACTAATTTATTTCTTCAATCTTTAATAGTTAATTCTTTTCCCCCTTCCATGTTTTATCTATTATGAATCTTGCAGCAACAAAACAATACTGACAAATTTCTTCATCTCCTGCACTGATACACTTTCTGAATAGTCCTAATAAGCACATTTCCAGTTTTTTCTTGACCTTTTTGTTAATCATACTGTTTGCTTCTTTCACTACTTTTTTCTAGAAATCTTAACTATATTACAAGCTCACTACACGTGGAAAAATGATCCCGTTACCCTCTTACATCTCCAGCAAGCCCCTTGTCCTGTTTTCTCTACTTTGGCCAACAGTAGTAGTGGTATAGATTCCTTGGTTGCCTTACATAAAGCTTTAAAATTGAATCACAAATGTGTGGGGGTTTGCTTAAAATGAATTACAACAGTGTAAAACCAGTGTGACTGTGACAGTGCAAGATGATTTTTGGTCCACAGGTACCATCTTCAACTTTAGGCAACAGTGTTTATTTCATCTATAGACTTCATAGTATGACCATGTACCACAACTCTCTCAGTTGTAAGAAGGAGTCGTGCAACCAGAATTGCACACTATTCTGAATTATTGTAGGTTCTTATTTAAATACTAAAATTTGACGGTAACCTCCCCACCCTGGCCTCCTTCCACAATTAGGATAACGCATTCCTTCAGCCCCTCTTCACCAGAATGAATAATGAGCAAAACTTTTGCTCATTTCCGGAGAAAAGTCATGGCTTTGCAAGTTGCTATATTATTTCACAGGAGAGCTGTGTCCAGACCTTCCTGGCACAAAGAATAACTGGTTAATTGGTTCCTCTAATTATTTGTAATATGTTGCCTCCAAGCTCTAAAGTTTCCTTGAATGTCTTGCTTGTGGGCTTCTCAAGGGCATCCGCTTGGTTACCCTTAAAGAGAAAATTCTGGGTTAGATGAATCTTTCATGTTACCTAGCAAAGGGATTCTTCTTACGTTTTCCTGTTTCAAAGCATTCCATTGTGTTCTTCACTTTCTGATTTTGAACAACCTGTGAATACAATGGTTTCTACTTAACAGGCATGGGTCCCTTCAGCCATGAATAAAGCAAAAATGTAGAGATCTTTCAGTCATCTCAGAACATTATATCTCCTCACCTGCTGTTTTCCCAGTTCAAATGAAAATTAATGGACTTTTCATTTCCTTTTAGGAGAAGGTGACTTCGGGGCAGAAGAAGATGAAGTTCTCACTCTCTTATACGACCCGTGCCTAAACTGTTATTTTGATCCTGAAACTGGCAAGTACTATGAGCTGGCATAGTCATTTGCAAGGGCAAGGAGCATGACCTCTCTTCAGAACTCTTCCAGCCCTTAGGCCTTTGCAAAACACTCATTTAAAACTAGAATTTTTCCCCTATTATGTGCTCCAGAATCCTGTTGCTCAAAAGTACAGCACTATCTTATAGGGTTTTTTTTAAAGATGTGTGATGTGTTTAAAACAGATTGCCCTTGCAGTCTTTTCTAGTTTGCATACATATTTTCTGAGCCAGCTGATGTTATTTAAAATATGGGACGTTCTTGTATGTGAACAAATTATGCTGAATCAAAAAATGTTTGCCTAGTTAATCTGAACGACTGTGTGATGATTTTTCCCTACACGTACTTGTTCTTTCATCTCCAATAATTTAAATAGATGTACTGCCATCTTTGCAGTTCAGAAAATACTGTCTGATGTTCAAAGGGAAGTGTTCCATGAACTGCCTTTTCTCTTCTTTATTACTGAATAAAGCAATATTTCTTTCTTTTTTTAAAAAAAAATCTCAAATGGTGTCTTCCACTTTTTTAAATTCTCAGGTAGTTTGATGGTGTTTTTGACAAGCTTCATAAATCTTGCAAGGATATATATGCTGGTTTTGTATATCTATAATAGATTAATTTGCACATGCACATGCATACACCAGTGAATATTGAAATCGCAACTTGGCACAACCTACAAAAATTGGGACGAGAGGGAAATATCCATTCTGGAATGTTGTATGGCCATTTTCAAGCAGCATTTTCTCCTGATATTTCATTTGCATCTGTGGCTGGCATCTTTGGAGGACCTATTCCTTTGCCTAACCTAAAACACGGAAAACATAAGTAGGTGGGCTTCCATTGCCCTGAGGTCACATGTCATGCCATTGCCTTATGTAATGGCATCTGTCAGAGTAGTATTAATGGAAGGTCATTTTTCTTATTTTCAGTTTATTGTTGCACTTATGCACGTACCTGAATGGGAGACCACATGGATATAGCACAAAATATTTTACATCATGTCTGAAGAGTGGATTCTAAATAGGGATAGGAGAAAATGACCAAAGAGAGCTTAATAGTAGATGATAATATGCCTGTGCTCCTAGAATGCTCAAACTGATACCTTGTAAACATACCATGCTATAGCTGGGCACCTAGAAGAGCTGGTGGCGATAGCAGCACCTACCATCCACAGGCCCAGCACAAACAGCTGTTTGCTCAGCTCAAGGAAAGTGCCAGGGTTGGCAGTAGGTGGAAAAGACCAATTAATGAGTATCCCAAAGACTGGATGATGCCAAGAGAGAAGTAAAAGTGTGGGGAAAGGGGATAGGGTTAAAAGGGAGACTGAAGTTAAAGGAGAAAGGGGAAATGATGCCAAAGTCCATGACAGATGTTTTTAGCCAAGGAGCTATCTGGAGGTTATGATGGGCACAGTGGCATAAGCTCTTGCACCTGAAGAACTCCTTCTGGAACATCTTTGCATCTTGTAGTAGGTCATGGTCATGCTCTTTTTCTTGCTAGATCTACCACATTGGAGAGAAGTCCTTCATTGGCCTCTTGATTTTCTAACCCAAACTCAAGCTGGAAAAACAGGAAGGAGAGAGCTATTGTTGGAAAGTAGTGCTGTCCATCTTGGACAGGCCTGCACAACCCTCTAAGTGTCTGAGACTCCAACTCTCAGGAAATACTTGGACAAGAGAGAATGAGCAGGCTGTAGATCCGTTTGCCAGTGCCAGTAAAAAGACAGGTGAAAGGAGCTGCATTGTGAAGTTTCCATGCCTAAGGCAATTCATGCTTCTCTGTCAACTCAACATATGCCCACTAATAGTCCCAGAAGGCTAATTATCCTGGCCATGTTTTTTACGTTGAATCTGTCCCACCTTACAATGGTTTTGGCCAGATCCTGTGTATACCTAGCACTTTAATAGGCAAAATTCCATTCATACTTACCACCTCATTGGATGCATCCTTTACACATGATAGGAACAGATTCAAGGCCCATTTACCACCCTTGGGAACTGAGCTGGACTTGGGTCCGAGAATAAACATGTTTATTCCAAACACCCTTCTATTATTTATCATACTGAGAGCAAGCATTCGGCAGGTCCCTTTGTCAAATGGGTGGGTTATAGCTTCCTTACAGTAATATTACTCATGTCTTCTGAAAATAATAGTGCCATACATTAAACCCAACTCTTTTTTTCTACATAAGGAGTAAGGGACATCCAACATTCGAGTTGCTGATGTAATATTGCTGGTATTCCTACCGTTCCGCAAGGTAGGCCAGGCTATGTGAGACAGATGGGAATTACAATTCAGCAACATCTGGATGCCACCATTTCCCCCCAGAGCTCTACAAAAGAGTCAATCTGGCTCCAGTATCACCCCAAAAGAACATTTCAACAAGTGACAGAAATGTAAAGGAAAGTAAGATTGTGGTCTGGGTTCAATATCTGCCACCTTCTGAAGGCATGTGTATAGGTGTGCATTTCTCGGAGTCAAGCTTGCTATATTTCAAAAGTGAAGCCTTTGTATGCCAGCTAATTTCCTTTGGGCTACAGGATTTGAACAGACTGCATCTGTCAGAACATACACAGCCCTACCTGCTGCCAATTTTCAAAACAAGGCAAGTGCAGGCACGGCTGCCGAACAGGAGATCTCATCTGACAAAGCATCAAACTGGGTGACAGTGTCACTTACAGGATGTCACACCAGCTGTGTCTGGTTACTGTGCTCCATGGCTCACTTGGCATGTGGCATATGAAAAATGACAAGGGAAATTCTGATGTGGCCTTTGTGTGCATGAACTCCTGGAGCTGGTGGATTGTGACAATATACTTGAGATTTCACTCTGCCTGCTTCATCCTTTTTGCGGAGACTTATTTCAAGAAGAAATGCAAATGTGTCATCTGACAGCTTTTGCTTCCATAGGAATATGCTCACAGATGGCAAAAGGAGGAGGAAAGGAGAGGGAATTAAGGAAAGAAACATATGCAGAAAGACTTCAAAGAGTGAAATATTGGCGAAAATGGGTATATGGATTCAAAGGAATAAAATCCTTGTCCACAGAGTCCCTGAAGGAATGGGATTATACTGAAGGGCAGGGTGGTTTTTTTCAGGTGGATACATTTTTTTAAAATAATACATATCTGTTTGTGCTCTCAGTCATGCTATTCATCAATATTTATAGAACAAGTCATGGTTCAAAATAAAGATATACATTTTTTGGTAATGAATTCCTTAACCCCGCCCTCCAAAATGAATTGGTGAAGAAAAACTGTAAAGACAACAGAAGCATACACATTTAAAAAGTACATTTTATTTATTGCTGTTGTTGTATGTCTTCAAGTTATTTTACACTAATAATAACATGAAAATGAACCCATCATAGGGATTTCTTGGCAAGAGCTGTTTTGAGCAGATTTACCTTTGTCTTTCTTTAAGGATGAGAATTTGACTTGCCGAGAGTCATCCAAAGGGTTTCCATGGATGACCAGGGATTTGAATGTTGGTCTCCTGGATTATAGTTTGCCACTCAAAGTAGTACACTGCAATAAAACAAACTACTAAGGAACGACAGGTAGGGCCAGCGAAGGCCATGAGGGATAAGAGACACGCACACCCTCACACACAAAGCAGGACAGTGGGATGCTACCACTGTCTATTATATTTTTCTTTGCTGCCACCAAATATTTATAAGATTTCTTTTGCTACCACCCATTGCTTGATTCAAAGGTCACCTCCTTCACTAGAATGGTCAAGAAGCCACATGAACTCTTTGTGTGAAATAAAACAAGAATATGATGTTAATTTTGTTCTGGAACACTAAAGATGTGTAGTGGTTTCAATAATTTGTCAGGCATCACTTTTACAGAGAATGGTCTTATAACTTGAGTTTCTTAAAAGCAGTGTTCCACACACAGGAATATAAACAGGTTATTTTGAACCTTTTGAATTCTCTTTCCATACAAGCACTCTTAACACTATAGAGGCCTACTAAATTTCTTACTCTTTCTCCCTGAAGGCTTTAACTATTTTCCTCAAAGAGGTATCTTCCTAACAACAGTTCCCAAATCTCTTCCTTCCCTTCAAAAATCCTAACCTAACCTTTCGAACACCAAACTCCCCAAATCCACACTTCAAACTGACAAGTCTCTGGCTACATTAGCTCCTTTCTCTCTGGCTCTGCCCATCTCCATTTGCTAAGCAATGCCCTCCAATTTTCTCAGCCAATCAGACTGCACTTCCAGCTATGAAACTCCCTGATTGCTCCACCCCTTTGCTTTCATTGGCTTTTCCAAGCCAGGCCTGTTTGCTGCCTGTACATCAACCCTGTAAGGTAGGCCAATCAGTTGCATGCACCCTGGAAGGGCCCTAAGACACAGAGCAATGGATTCAAATTGCAAGGAAGAAAATTCAGAAGACTTTTCTGATGGTAAGAGCTGTTGGGGGTGAAATATCATATTGTTTCCTCCTCTAGAAGTTTTTAAGCAGAGGCTGAATGGCCATCTCTCAAGGGTGCTTTGACTGTGTGTTCTTGCATGGCAGGGGATGGACTGGGTGACCCTTGGGGTCTTTCCCTGTATCAGAAGCTGCTGTGCACATTTGTTTTTTGATATCACACAAAGTTGGTCCAATGACAGGGAGTGCACATTTATCAATTCAAAGTGCTGGCTTTGGCCTATAAAGCCCTAAACAGTTCTAGCCCAATTTACCTGTCTGAACGTATCTCCCCTTATGAACCACTGAGAACTTTAAGATCATCTGGGGAGGCCCTGCTCTCGGTCCCGCCTTCGTTACAAGCACGTTTGGCGGGGATGAGAGACAGGGCCTTCTCAGTGGTGGCCCATCGGCTATGGAATGCCCTCCCTAGGGAGATCAGATCTGCTCCCTCCCTCTTGACATTTCGAAGGCAAGTTAAAACGGGGCATTCGAGCAAGCGTTTACAAATACAGAGTAGCTAATATAGGAAATCGAATGACCTGACAAAAGAATTGGACAATGCTTGAGAATAATGAGACGCTGATGTTGTTTTTATTGCTTTTGTGATGTCTTATACTGTTTAATGTTTTTTATCTATTAAGTTTTATGCATACTGATTTGTTGGAAATCGCCTTGAGTCGCCAATTGGCTGAGAAAGGCGATATACAAATACAGTAAATAAATAAATATCATGGATCTTATCTTACTTGTACAAGAGCTAGAGATAATGTTTTTTACCAACCTTAAAGCATCAGAATTAAAATCTGGGAGAAAGAGTTGAAAATTACATTTTGTGCCTGTATAAACTGCAATTTCCAGTTCAACTCCTGTAAAATTTTGTCACTGGCCTGATTCCAGAGGCTGCGCCACAACACAAATAGGATGTCTGGAAAGTGCCAAGATGTATCCAGCCTTCCATTGTCAGCATTCTTCTTCATCATTGTCACTCAGCAAGCCTCCAAGTGTAAAGCATTACTGAGGTAAAGGGAGGGATATTGATTTTTTTTCTGTAGCCAATGTATCAACATCAGCGTTTTATA